TTCAATTACCTTAGGGGTCGTTTCTTAGTGTTGTTTCATGCTGAATACCATATACTCTTAATGCAAAAGAAGGGCACTTAACCCTTGAAAGAATCACCAAGGAATTGCAAGCTAACGGTTTATACGTGAAGAACAGCAACCTTATCTTGAGACTACTTAGAAAACTCAAGAATGCAATCAAACAAGATACAACAACAACACCTAGTGGACTAACACACATCCCATTGATAAAAAAAATAAAAAATAAACAAAAAAAATACCATAACAAGAAACTTAATTGCAAGAATTGCCTAATGGGGTGACGTTTCTACGATCTAAAACAAGAAACTTGTTAGAACCATGGTGGAGATAGAATTGTGGTTCCAACTGGGATGAGACCACTCAAACATATGAATCTGAAGAAACAAAAAAATAAACAAAAAACAAAAATCTATCAAGGCAAAAGTGTCGAAACACATCACTTAAAAACACACAACTGAACTCAAACTTACTGAGATTCGAACCGAACAGAGGATTGAACCACGCCCAGATCGCGAAAAACCCTCTTCAAAATCAAGGTAGAGAAACACACAACTGAACTCAAACTTACTGCGAGTTTTGCGCGCACCTCCATCCCCACTGTAAAGGGCGAAAATGTTATCAATACCCTAATTACAAAAAAAACAATTGAGAAAGTAAACAAGGAGGAGGACATACGAGTCTACAAGTATCGAAGGTGAAGTCAGATACGCCGTGTTTATTGAAGAAGTCGGAACAAAGTAATTTAAAATTGGAACAAATCTGATTCATAATGGTGGACATAATTGGAACAAAGTAATTTTAAATTGGAACAAATCTGATTCATAATGGACATAAACATCTTTGAAAGTAATTTAAAATTGGAACAAATCTGATTCATAATGGACATAATGAACATCTTTGAAAGTAATTTAAAATTGGACATAATTGGACATAATGGACAAATCTGATTCATAATGGAACAAAGTAATTTATAATTGGACATAATTGGACATCTTTGAAAGTAATTTAAAAGTTCCTGATTCACAATTGTAAAGCACAAGTAAAGCACTTGAGGCAACTGAAGATGGGGATAACATGAACCTTGAATATCATTTATCAACATGAGGCCAAAAATAAAGCACGGAATTAATGATCACTACTCTTTCACAAATAAATCTCAAAGAAAAATATATTGGATTTAATAGGTCTATTTAAGAAAAATCATAGACCCAAAATCAGTAAACAAAATTGCAACAGAGCATAACAATTTATGACCCCAAACCAAAAAAAAAAAAAAAATTGTGAACTAAGAAAAAATATGAAATACTCATGTTTCAATTGGTTTCCAAGGAAAAACATGGAAGTGATTGAAATTGTAGAATCTCATATTTATCTCCTTTTTGGACTTGTGTATATAGTAAAACAAGTTAGATATTTGTAATGACACCAGGTTCAAAGCATGAGGAGAGAATGTCTTAGAATGAAGTGTATTCATATGCATTTAAGTCAACGGAACAATTCAATTTTATTGTCAAAAAACCCAAGAAGAGCATGAAGTGAAGAGTTTCTCAGCAAACATCATAAGAATAAATAGTCTAGTCCTAAAGATAAATATTTGGTCATCACAAGCAAAAGAAATGGAATTAATTGACAAATAATTGTTTCCTCTAAAAAAATCCTTTCAATTAGGAAGGAACAAAATGAATTTCTACCAATTTGGGAGAAACCCTAATTTAGAAATTTCTCTATATTTCTGGCCCCGTTTGTGTCATATGAAGAACCCACAAAGAGACTGAAGGACTAGATGCAACATTAAAATTCTACTTTCTCGTCGTGTCATATTGAAGAACCCAGAGAGCCACTAACTTTAAGAAGGTATTTTGGAATTTACCAAAAGGCATAACAGGTGTCACTAGGCTTGTTGGGTCGACCTTGAAATCCACCATCAGCTGCCAGCCTCTGCATGAAGAAAAGGAAGAGAGTGAAATTACTCTCAGAGCTGAGAATTCATCAAGGATATACTACAAAAACGTCAAACATGCAAATTGTTTGATAAAATAACAGGTGTTTTTTTTTGTTGTTGGTGTTTCATAAGCTAACATAAAAGCATCAATTGATAAATGAATAAAATAACACCTAATAAATTTTTGTGTGACAGATAATGAGAGCAGTGAAGTGTTGTAAAATTGTGTGAAGTAAGATGATTATAATGAGGTGCAGACTTTCTGTTTGAAAACCAATGAGCTGAAAGGGCTCAAAATGGGAAGAAAAGATAAACACAACAACATTAGATCACTCCATATCTAGCATACCCATATCTAGCATACCCACAGATAACAACAAACCTCCATGAATCTCCTCTGGTCTTCACAGTAGTACTGACTGGCAGTCAACAGATCATTTAGTGTTCCACAGGATAGCAGCACAGCCCAGAGGACTTAAAAGCCCAATTCTACTCCTAAACTACACATCAGAACAGAAACCACAACTTCACAGCAGCAACTCAGATCATCACCAATTTAGATAGTTAAGGTAGCTTAACTATCTAACAAATTGACTTCTAAGTTAAACCAATTCAAACCCTGACCATAATGAAGTTCCACCCAGCAAGCAAGGACACAATCACCTACCCCCCACTTAAGATGCTGTCCCATGCCTACACAAAAAAAGATGCTGTCCCAGATACACAAATGCTACATGATGCAAAAAAAGGGGAAAAGCAAATTAAAGAAGGGAAAAAAAAAGGGCAATATGCATGCGTTTATTCCAATCCAAAGACGGCTTTTCCCCACTGGTGTCTGTTAATGAGAATTCAGAGACAAGGAAGTTGTATTTGTATTCAATTAGAGAAACCATGTGAATGGAATATAACTAGTTCCCATGCAATTTTAAGCCCAATAAGGATGGAAACTTGTCTAACAATCAATCATAGTAATATTGAAATTCATCATTTACTAGCATAGTGATTATATAATGATGCATAGTGATTATTCTTTTTATTACTTTTGTGTCTAGCAAGGAATTAGTTTAATTAGTTGTTTTCTTGTTGGATTAGGGCTTCTCATATTATAAATAATGTATGCCCTGCATTGTAACCCTGCATTGTACTCAATTAATAAAATAACACTAATCCATATTAAATAACATTCTTTCATCAACCATATTAAATAAGTGTAGAAGAAGCAGTTGAAGTAGCCCTGCATTGTACTCAATTAATAAAGTTAATAAAAAATTAACAATTTTAAACAATTAACAATTAACAATTAACAATTTTTAAGCATAACTTTACTTTAATTTAAGGGGCTTACTGTAATTTACCCTAAAAAAAATCGTATTAAGGCAGTCCATCGCAAGTCACTCTTCCTACAAGTTTATTAAAAACATCAGATGTAAAGAGACGGATGGATATTCCCAAATAAAGCGAACAATCTTTAAATGAATATGGTGACAATAGACATTCTAATCATTGTTAAGCACTTTATCACTTTACGTAATGAATAATAGATCTAAGGAAGCAGAAGGAGAAACAGTAGTACCTGGGACTGGCAAGTTAACAAAAATTGGCGTAATGCTTTCTCGTCGATGAATTTGTGGCCCCCTAAGATCCTCAGAACACCTCCAACCCTATAGATGAACATTGCTGTGTTAAGCCACAAGAACTGCAACTAAGACCATGGGGCTTTAAGAAGGTATTTTGGAATTTACCAAAAGGCATAACAAGTGTCACTAGGCTTGTTGGGTCGACCTTGAAATCCACCATTAGCTGCCAGCCTCTTCATGAAGAAAAGGATGAGAGTGAAATTACTCTCAGAGCTGAGAATTCATCAAGGATATACTACAAAAACGTCAAACATGCAAATTGTTTGATAAAATAACAGGTGTTTTTTTTGTTGTTGGTGTTTCATAAGATAACATAAAAGCATCAATTGATAAATGAATAAAATAACACCTAATAAATTTTTGTGTGACAGATAATGAGAGCAGTTAAGTGTTGTAAAATTGTGTGAAGTAAGATGATTATAATGAGGTGCAGACTTTCTGTTTGAAAACCAATGAGCTGAAAGGGCTCAAAATGGGAAGAAAAGATAAACACAACAACATTAGATCACTCCATATCTAGCATACCCATATCTAGCATACCCACAGATAACAACAAACCTCCATGAATCTCCTCTGGTCTTCACAGTAGTACTGACTGGCAGTCAACAGATCATTTAGTGTTCCACAGGATAGCAGCACAGCCCAGAGGACTTAAAAGCCCAATTCTACTCCTGAACTGCACATCAGAACAGAAACCACAACTTCACAGCAGCAACTCAGATCATCACCAATTTCACAAAGTTAAGGTAGCTTAACTATCTAACAAATTGACTTCTAAGTTAAACCAATTCAAACCCTGACCATAATGAAGTTCCACCCAGCAAGCAAGGACACAATCACTATCAACAGATCCAGCAGCGGCATGAGTATCAGAAACCCAATTTTACTACTGAACTACACATCAGCACAAAAACAATAGCTACAGCAGCAATATCACAAGCAACAATAACAACTTCACAGCAGCAACTCAGATCATCACCAATTCAGAAAATAAAAAATTGAAACATAAATTAAGGTAGCTTAACTATCAAACAAAATGACTACTAAGTTAACCCAATTCAATCCCTGACCATAATGAAATTCCACCCAGCAAGCAAGGACACAATCACCTACCCCCCACACACCTACGAACCTGATCCAGATTCTCAACCATATCATGGACTGAATAATGCAACAATCTAGAATTATATTTAATCCACGAAGCAATTCTGGTTTTGATCAGATCGCAGACTTCCTCTAAGGTGCAAAATTTATTCAGTCCATCACTTTTGGTTTTGAACTACAAAGAACATCACTTCATAAACCTTTTCCAGCTTACCCTTTTCTGTTTTTTTCAATTATAACAAAAAACATCTAATCATATCTATTTACGTTTTTTACCCTTTGAGGACCTTATGCTCATTGTGCTGGCATACTCTCCATAGCATAACATCAACAGATAGGATCTCCCAAGATATGTTGGCATAATCTTCACCTAACTCAAAATAATAAAATCAAATACTAGATGACAGGACACAGCACACCTACACCAGACCCACCCCAGCCAACCAAGCGGAGAAGTAGCAGAGGAAACAACCAAACAATCTTCAGCCTAACCTTATAGGTTTTGACTCACCCATTTTATATTTGAAACTATCTCATGAATGGAGAGTGTCAAACAATATATCAAACAATCTTCAGCCTAACCTTAGTATTCTTTTATTACCAGAAATGAAAAATAACCTGATATGCAGAATGGAATTTTAAATTAAAAAAATCAAGGCAATGGGACGATAAATTCTAATTCTATTTACATGGGAAACAAATTCAAAGATCCAAAGAATAATAAATAAATATAGAGTAAGAAGTCAAACAATTAATAAATAAATACAAAATAAGGCGTCGAACAATCCTAAATTTTACAATGGTTTACAATATGAAAGAACTGCATGAAGTTGTAGTGTGGAAAGCCACTAAACTGATTTATTCATTGTTCTTCCTTTCACCTCACATTCCATTCTCCTTGATTAAAATCATTTTTTCTTAGTTTAAGGCAGAATTCAGGTTTTTTCTTTTGTAACCATTCTACCGGTGCAATGCTATCAATCTATCTATCTATCAATTAAAATCATATTGAAGAGCATCGCAGAAATCTCAATGTTACTTGGGCCAGGTTAACAATTTCACCACGGATAGCATGCTCACATTTCAAAACCCGTCAATAGAAAACTTAGAGGTGAAAATGTGGACCACCATGTAAATTCAGAATAGAAAACAGCCCACATAGCATAAAAGCAGCCACATTGCCCACCAGCCGCATAATATTTGAATCTGGTCACTCAATGTAAAGACAAAATTCAATAAAATCATTGCACAGCCTACAGAATCTATTATACCTACATAAATATACCACAATTAAAAGTACATGTAGAAGTTTCCAATACAACTAGACGATTATGAAAGCATCTACATTCTCATTAAAACTAAAAACAGTCAAACTAGTTGAGTTTGTGAAATTTACACGCACCTAAGTTCCAAATTCCATCACATTTTAAAACACATTTGTCATAAGTGAATCAAAACCTTGCCATGCATGGAGAACATAACAATCACAGCACAGCACAATGAAAAAATGACAGCACAATGGAGAACATAACCTTGCCATCCAAATTCCATCCATATGGAGAACATAACAATCACAGCACAATGAAAAAATGAACCTGTACAAGTGAACCTTCAGGGGCAGACAATCTGTAAAACCTCTATGTCACATCACAGTGGGTGCTCCGATGTTTAAATTTAGTGGATACAAGGAGTTGTTCATATCTACCACAAACAATCTCACTCTGATAAGAAAAGAAACTACAATAGGGTGACAGCAGCAAATGGACGACAACAAGAAGAATAATCACTTAAGCACAGATAAGAAGGATCTAAGCACACAAGAAAAACAGAAAAAACAAAAGGAGGTAATTCAATTGAAAGAAATTGATAAAGACCACAACATTCTCACAGACCATCTAAATGGAAACCAGCCTTTCTTTTTAAGCATCCGTTGTTCAGCTGCTTCCTTAGATTTTACAGATTCAACCTTGGCATGTGCAAAGAAACCTGAAAGGTAAATATACCATCAGTGAGAAAAGGAAAAGCCAGCAGTTCAAATATTTGTATCCTTAACACTCCATGATATCTACAAAGTTCAATATGAGGACACATAGGAATGTATAAGGTTTATTGAAACGGTAGCAATTAATAGAAACACAACCTTGATTGAGCTTTGTGTCCCCAAGGACAAATATTTTAATAAACTTAAGATCAACGGCTATAAAAAAAATCCCTCTTTGCTAGGTATCCTATGTACTAACCAATTCAAATCCTCCCAAAATTATCGTTCCATAGATTCATCTAATCCTATTTGGGGAACATAACTGCATAGGCATTAATTATATTTAGTGTCTCTTCTCCTAACACTAATTTCACTCATATTCTCTCCTTTTCTTTTTAACCAAACATTTCTTCTTTTAGATTTTTTACTTTTTATCTACAATTGTCTACACTCCATTTCCGCAATTCTCTTTTCCAATATTTTTTCATTTTTCCTAAATTTTTTCACAACCCATTTAGTTTCTCATAAACAAATAAAAGCAATTCCCCATCTAATCATGGCATCTACTAATTCCATCCATTTACATATATTCCGCACTTGTCAATGTATCCTACTCAATTCAACTAGCACTTTAGTTGCACTTGTCCATTGAAGTGAATGAAAACTTGCTCACCATACCCAGGCACCAGTGTATAATTTTGATATAATATAACAGTGACCATGTAATCAACAAAGAGAGAGAGAGAGAGAATGTGAAAAAGGGGTTAAGAATTACCCGCAACCAAATTAGCTAATCCAACAGTGTTTAAAGCCAAACACCCGGGAATAGGGATAAGACTTAATTTTTGACAAACGCACAAGCATATTATTAGTTTTTTACCATTGTCGGGTATCAATTATGTAGTCCTATAACCCCAAACAAACACTAGCAAACAAACTTGCAAACCCGAAAAACCCAATTGGCAATGCGGTCAGTTTAAATTTGTATACCCAAAAAGACTCAAAATTTTCAACCCTAGTCACTAGATCCCCATAACCAATTCCAGTCACCACTACGAGGATATATACATACATATATATATACACATAATCAAAGTGATAAGAAAGGAGGAGGAGAGTATACCAGTGCAGATCCAGTCGCCGATACAGGGGAGCCATTTAGAATCGGCGGGGGTTTTGGTGTCGACGAGAAGGCGGGGCTGCTTACATCTGTTGCAGAAGGACCTGAAGGCATAGTTGCGGTTCCTGCATCCACCGCACTCCCAATCCCCTTCTCTCCCTTGTCCTCCCATCTTCTCTGTAACCCTCTCTCTCTCTTTCTCTCTCTCTCAACTCAGGATTCAGGGCCACAGGATTTTGGCCTCTGCCTCCCCTTCCTCCACGACCACCTAACCCAGATCGACCTCCAATAGGTGTGTAAACCTTCGAATCAGCCATACCACCACCAACTCCATACGATTAAGTTGTTAGGGTAGAAGCTGTTAGAGTATAACAGAGAAGATTTAGGGCAGAAGCTGTTAGGGTTTCCTCTTGGGTAAGATCACACGGATCAGAAACTCCTGATCCACACCAGACATGGAAGCCTTCATACGATTAAGCTCCTCTCTTCACTCCTCAAAGGGCTTCGACTGAGTAACTCGCCGAAACGGAAGCTAACCCCAACGATGCAACCCCTTTCTCTCTTTCATTCATCGCGATAATATCACTCGTCAACCCTTCCATAGATTCCACAAAGGAAGAAGGGTTCAAATCGGCCTCACATACACAAAGGCTACTCACTGGATTTGCCTTTATTTATTTATTTATTTTTTTCTGTTTTGCAGGTACAAAACGACGTCGTTTTTTGATTGGCGACCAAATTTTTTTGGTCGCCAAAAAATTTCATTTCCCTCCTCTTGGTTGTTCAAATTTCCCTCCCAAACTTTTGGCGACCAAAAAACCAAATTAGTCGCAGAAAAAGTACCTCCGCCGACAAACTTTTTTAGTCGCCAAATCTCAATCAACGGCGACTAAAATATTGGTTGCTAAAAATACAAATTTGGTGACTAATTTTTTTTGGTTGCTGAAAATAAATTTTTGGCGACCAAAAATTTGGTCGCCAAAAAATATGTGACCTTCCGCGACCAAATTTATAGTTAGTCGGGAAAAGTATACCACTTTCTGCGACCAACTCATTTTTTGGTCGCCAAAATATAACCTTCTGCGACCAATAATATTTGGTCGCCAAAAACAATGATCATTCGCGACTAATTAATATTTGGTCGCCAAATGTGATTTTTTTGGGACAAAAATTTTTTTGGTCGGCAAAAGTGGTCGCCAAATGTGTAAATTCTTGTAGTGAACCGAACTCTTCTCACTGAATAAGCAAGCCAAACACATTCAAATATTTTAATTATTAGATAGACAATAAATAATCATTAAAAAGAGAAATAATTTTATTATTTATATTATACGGTGAATAGTCACTTTCCTTTAATTTTAAGAGGTTAAAAAACATTTGAAAACCATCCGTAATAATTGGCAAAATATCATATATATATATATATATATATTTTTTCAATTTGCCATATCTTTTTATCGAATTTTATTAGAATATGATGTATCAAATTCGCAGTCATTGATGCAATTACTTTTTTTTTCTTTTTTTTTTCCTTTTTATTGTTAGACATTAGTGCGTGGCTCATATGAGCCGTAGTACTCCAATTTAAAAATTAGATTCAATTTTCAAATTTAACAATGTGTTAATTTATTGAAATATTAAAACAACTCTTTTTCATGTCTTGTGTGATCATCAATCAATTTTTTTTATTTTTTTTTAATTTTTTTTTATATACCACTGAGTCTTCAAAATAGATCTAGCAAGTAAGCTTATATATTATTTTCTGGTAGAAATGCTCTTGAGTTGTGTAAAGCTGGTGTGGTCTGATGGAGAGGAAATTGATTTAATATCCCCAACATCCTTGTACAAGCGAATGGGGTGATGCTGAAACTGCATGACCTTGGCTTTGAGATATAAAAATTGAGACACTGAGAAAGGCTTGATAAAGATATCTGCCAATTGATCAATGGTGGGAATATACTGAAGGATCAACTTCGTAGCAAGAACTTGATCTCGTACAAAATGACAGTCGACTTCGATGTATTTAGAACAGGAGTGAAACACAGGATTAGAAGCTAAAGCAATAACATAGACATTATCACACCAGAGAGTAGGAAGCACGGGAGAAGAAATAGATAGGTCTTAAAGAAGATACCAATCCAAGCTAATTCAGCTGCAGTATGAGCAAGATAGCTGTACTCAGAATTTGAGAGGCATAGAGGAGTGATGAAGTAAGGAGATAGTAGTTTCTATGATATGTCTGTGCTTCCTTTTAGTAGTGCCATTTTGAGGTGGAGTATAGGGGCAACAATGTTGGTGAACAATACCATGTGTTAAAAGAAAATTCTTCATTTTAGCATTACAATACTCAGTACCTCCATATGTTCTAAGAATTTTCAAAACAATCTCAAATTATTTCCCAGGATAGGCTTTAAATTCCAAGAATTTGTCATATACTTCACTTTTGTAAGATAATAGATATAACCAAGTGAACTCACTCAATTCATCAACAAAAATGACATAATAGTTAAAAGTATAAGTGGAATGGTAAGGGCCCCATACATCACTATGGATGAGAGAAAGAGGCTTATTTATAGTTGAATTTGACAATTGAAAAGGAGGCCTATGGCTTTTTGCAACACAAAAATCTACACAATCTTGACTAACACAATTAACAGATTTTAGCTTTAATGATGCTTAAGATGATGAAACTTCAATGATGAAGGATGTCCTAATCTATTGTGCCAAATAATAGCAGAATCAGGACTAGGTTTAGGAGAAGTAGTCATGTAAGCTTGTGACTCAAATGGATCAAATGAAACAATAGCAGGTGGAAGAAAATGGTAAAGACCATTCAAGTTAGTTCCCTTGTTAAGAACCTTCTTGGTATACTTGTCCTGAACCACAAAAGTATATTCATAAAAAAAAAAAAATAACACAATGATTATCCTGTGCTAGTTTTTGAACTGAAACCAGATTGGAAAAAATAGGTTGTGAATAAAGAATATTGTTAAGTTGGAAGGAATAGTGAGGAGTGGGTAGAATTCCATTACCAGTTTGAGTAATAGGAGCAAGGATTCCTTATCCCCAAATATTCTTGTTCCCCTGTCCCAAATCACTTACAACCATTGGATCATATGAGAATCCCAAGATGTGAGAATCTCAAGACATATCCAACGGTTATGAGTGATTTGGGACAGGGAGACAGGGATATTGGGGACAAATAGGTGGTGAATGAAGAATATTGTTAAGTTGGAAGGAATAGTGAGGAGTGGGTAGAATTCCATTACCAGTATGAGTAATAGGAGCAAGGATTCCTTATCCCCAAATATTCTTGTTCCCCTGTCCCAAATCACTTACAACCATTGGATCATATGAGAATCCCAAGATGTGAGAATCTCAAGACATATCCAACGGTTATGAGTGATTTGGGACAGGGAGACAGGGATATTGGGGACAGGGGAGCCCTGGGCGAGTAATAGGCACATAATTTCCATCTCTAATAGTAGCTTGGTTGGCACCTTGATAGGGTTCATAACATACAAGATTAGACAAATCATTAGTAATGTGATCAGTAACAGTAGAGTCCAAATACCATGGACCTGGGAATACAGATGAAGATGCATCAGAAGAGGAGGCAACAAAAAGCTCTAGGTGTAGAATTAGGCATAGCATGTGAATCTTGATAATGAGAGTCCATTTGATGCTAGCAATCAAGAGCTAAGTGACCAAATCTACCACAAATCTGGCAAACTGGAGAAGACTGAGAATGAGAGGAAGAATATCTTCCTTTACCTCTAGTATAATTGCTAGAGAATCAAAAATTGCCATTGCCTTCATAAAATCTGCTTTCTCTGCCACCTCGAAAATAGTTTCAACCTCTAGATTGGCCAAAGGTATGTCCTCTAGGTTTAAAATGAGTAGAAGATGAGAAGAA